AACATCAGGTAAGATTTATTTACAATGTAGCGCTTTTCCCTCGTGAAGTACCGTTAACGTCTTCAGTAAGGGGGCTCAGAAAATGCATCTTCAGTTTTTTTGCGAAAGTGACACCCAGAATTAATTCGTAGTGTTCACAACATACATCATTTCTTTGCTTAAACACCTTCATTATGAAAGTAATATACAACAGGCTTGCAAATGTAAATACAAATATAGTAGATGTGCAGGTGCTCAGATGCTGATTTGATCCATTTTAGTACGAGTTCTCATCGTCTCCTTGAGATATTTCCGATCGAAAAATACAAGTGTGTCACTATCTTTTTTTCTCTCCCTCTCTATATATTTTCTCTTTTTTGACAGGACGATCTTTGAAGCATCTAAAGAGTAACAAATGTATCCATACTTATGGAGCTTGGCCCGGCGTCGACAGACATATGGTATTGTGGTCAGGATGCGACGAAAAACGGCTAGAAATATGGTTTGCAAAGCAAGGTATATTGAGTACCGCTCGCGTTTTCTGCAGCATTACACACGCTTCACGCGCGTGCAAATCCCAAGCACCGCAACATGCAAACTGCACGTCACTACTCTCACCTACTCTTGAAACTATAGTTTTTTTTCTTAAGCAGAAAATGATGAAAATAATGTCAAGGAGTTTTTGAATAACGTAACTAAGAAATTTTTTTTTGGGTAATTAAATTTGGGATCTCAAAAAGGATGCAATAAAGTGGTAATTGAACTTCGTTTTGCGTAATTTTGGTTTGAAATGATATTAGTGATTTCTAATCGAACTCAACAGTGGCAGATTTATCACGCTTGCTTACACGCTTGCAGAACTTACGGAAATTTTAGAAGTGAAGAAACATCTTTACACTTTTCCCCATGTATCAAGCGTGGAGTCTGATTTTGGCTTCTTGTGACTGTCAATTTTTTCCGGTAGGCCATAGTCATACTACAAACCTAGGATTTGTTTTAGCGAAACTCAATCGAAATGTGCTCAAACATCACTGGTGCAATAATGTATCTCTCATATATAGAATGTATAAACACTCTTGGAATGCAGAGCGGTGATATCAAAGACAGCCAAATTACTGCGTCTTCATACAGACCAGCAGATCTCCCACATTATGGCAGGCTGCATAACGGAAAGTACTGGTGTGCCAAAGAGAAGAAAAGAGACGAGTACATACAGATTGATCTTGGACAGGTACCCTCAATTTTAATTTATCTGATCATGTAATTTCTGTTTTAAAGGCTTTTTGAAAGACATCACGTCAGTTTAGTCTGGTGCAAATAAAAATAGCGGAACGTTGCGAAGTGCATCTTTAAAAAGGAGGTTGACAATAATCGAAAGCTAAAGGAACGAGAGAAAACACGTGCGCTTTACAGTATCAAGCCACATTCTCGATGTGTTTGACGCTGTAAGTGATTTGAGTAAAGTTTAAACTCGGAAATAACGTTAGTCTCAACGGATTTTCTTCGTCTGCATTTCTGACTCTGACAAGTTACCGGAAAGTGCAATCAAATATCGATGTTCAGTAATTTTTGGCTTATTTTTCATATTTTAGCTACGAACGGTGAACAAAATCTTGATACAGGGACGTGGAAACTGGTACGACTGGGTGACTGGCTTCTTCTTGTACTACAGTGATGATGGTCAGCGGTGGACGGGTTATTCAGAGAGTGGAGACAAACAACACTCCAATGTATGGAAAATATTTTAAATGGTGATTTTAAAGGCGCCTTTAGCCTTTACATTATCAAGTTTTCATGGAGTTTTACTGTAATCTTATAAATGATTCAATAAGAAGTAAGGACGATATTCGCTCGTATAGAAGAATTGGTTAGGAAACAAGGAAATTGTAAATGATTTAATGAAGAGAAATCCTAGCCCTGAAATTTTTCTTTCGAAAATGTCATTCACAAGTTTCACGGCAATAGAAGGTAGCGCACAAGTGCTCCTTTTAAGAAAAGCTTTCCAGAGCCATTATGTGTAAATAGACTAATGAAGTTGTACGCTTGTGTCAATAAGAGAGCATCTTTCTCCACCATTTCTGTTTGTTATCATCTGAGTGCAACATGCTCGTTGACTGAAACAACTTTTCTTTGTTTTAATTAGTCGCATTGCTATCAAGGAAAATGCAGCGAAATTCA